ATGAGGGGGATGGAGTACACCGGTGAACACATCGTTCACAAACACCTACAGTTTGCGAGCCTACTAGTGTTCCACTGGACTGTCTAGAAGAGTCCGTGGTCGTCATCCATACTCCGCTAGATGACGAAATCAACAACAACAACATCGATGCCTCTCATCATTTTATTACACATCGTCTATTACATCAATCCTTGTTTTACCCCAACATTTTTGTAGATATAAAATATATATACATTTTAAATCATTTAAAACATGTATAAAATCATTCATCCATCATAGACAGCAAGTATTCAGATAATATGCACACTTAGCATGTAATTTATATATAATACTTCATATCTATGTGTAAGATGAAAGTAATTATGCACTTACCGGGTAAGGTGGTGAGTCGGCACTCGGACAACACTTCGTTACTCTTAAAACAAGTATCCCTTGACGAAACCTAGTATCATTACCACTAGAGTTTAGTCTAACGTTTGACGAGACTAATTAATAGTCTAACTATTATTACTATTATATAAGTGTTAAACAATACTTATATAACCCATAATAATAGCCCAAATACTCCTTATAAGGTCATAATAACATTACTATATTGAAACATAAGCTATACTAAAGACATGGTAGGCATAACTCACTTACAACGGGTTTTCTCGAAAACCGGGCTTCGTTGGAGCAGCATTTCTGAGCCGAAAGGCTAGTTTCTCGGGACTTCGGGAGCCTCAGAGCTTCCTTTGGGTGCTAGGGGTTTTACCTAGGCTTAGGGGGGGTTTGGGGCTAGAGAGAGAGTTTAGATAGATAAAGAGATGGGTATCTTTTCAAAGGTAATAGGCTTTGTATTCCTACATATTCCCTAAGAGAAAATTTAGTTAGAGATTTTCATGGAGGGAATATGGGAGGACACCTTGGAAGAGACAAGACTTTTGCTAGTATGGAAGCTAGATACTTATGGACCCACTTGAGGCAGAATGTGGGAACCATTGTCAAACGATGTTATACTTGTCAGATTGCTAAGGTCAGTCACAAAACACAGGCCTTTACATGCCTTTACCCATTCATGATGATATCTGGCAAGATCTTTCAATGAATTTTTTTGGGGTTAACTCATACACAGTGGGGTTGACTCGTTTTTCGTAGTAGTTGATCGATTTTAAAAAATGACACATTTCATAGCTTGCAAAAAACCTACAGATGCAAGCAACATTGCCAAACTATTTTTTTCGAGAAATTGTTCGTCTTCATGATGTCCCAAATTCGGTCACCTCTGATCGTGGCAGTAAGTTTTTAAGCCAATTTCGGATTAATTTACGGCGTATGTTCGATACAACCTTAAACCGAAGTACTATCACACACCCACAAATAGACAGACAGACGGAAGTAACTAATCGTACATTGGGAAATATGATACGAAGCGTTTGTGGAGATAAGCCTAAACAACGGGACATTAAAATTGCCTTAAGTAGAATTTGCTTACAACAGTGCTATGCATAGTGTTACCGGTAAAGCCCCATTTGCTTTAGTATACACGACAACTCCCCGAGATGTTGTTGATGTAGTTAAGCTACATCACACTATTGAAATTAGCTCTGCTGCAACAAAAATGGCCAGGGATGTGCAAACTGAGAAGGAACTTACTAAAGCTCGGTTGGAAGCTGTGGGTGAGAGAAACAAGGAAGCACTTGATCGCCACAAGCGCGTTAAAGTATTTTAAGTCGACGATGATGTTATGGTATTTCTTCGCAAGGAGAGGTTCTTGTAGGCACTTATGGCAAATTCAAACCACGAAAGTATGGCCCTTTCAAAATCACCAAGAAGATTAATGTCAATGCATATGTAGTGGCCCTCCCATCTTCTATGAATATCTCCAACACTTTTAATGTGGCAAACATATATGAATTTCATAGTGATGTTGCGATCTATCCTGATGATACCTCGAGGTCGAGTTTTTCTGAGGTGTTGGAGACTGATGTAGAGGAATTAGCCATGCGAATTGAAGAGCAACTTGATCGTGAACATGGAAACTAGTCTAATATTCCTATTTAAAATTGGTTTAGATAATTATCCTTTCTTTTTATTTTTCTCCAATATTTTGTTTTATACTTATCTTATCGTTAGGATCCTTTTCTTTAGGCCTAAGTTAGGTTTTCTTTTGTATTTAATGTCCTTCATGTTTTGGTGAGGGATGACTTTTTTTTTTTTATCAATATAATTCTGGTTTCTGATTAATCGCCCTTTAAAGGCCTGTTGCTCAGTGTTTGTACCTTGAGCTGCAACTCTTGTTGTGTATTCTCTTGTTCGATTACGTCAAGATCAACCAAAATATCGTGCCTTAGGAATATCAAGCACACCCACCCTCAAACACCATGATGGCGGCGGCTGCAATGGTGATTTGTGGCTTAAAACACAAAACAAAGTGTAGAACTCACATAAGATTTGATCAAATGAGAAAAAAAATCCTCTTCTCCTCCCAAAGTCATCATTTTCTTTGTTCTTTCTTTCTTGGATCAACTGCATAACAAGGGGAGGACTATGGTTTGTCATTTTTATAGTTAGCTCATCCCTAGTGTTTCTTTTACCCGTCAAACTTAATATATTACCTCTAAATTCTCAATGCTTATAATTACCTCCCTTGTTTTTAATTATTTTCCTTAATTTGTGCCATCTAATATGTTTCCCCTAAATCATATTAAAAATGCACTAAAAACAATTTCATGAAAGTCTACAATATTATTATTTGGCAACTTAAGGATAAAACAATTAATTAAATATAATAAATAGGAATTAAGCGTTACACATTAATTATTTTTGTAAATTGTGAGCTATTTTCAAAATTTTGTAATGTTTATGACTTTGGGACCTTTTTTTCTTTTCGTCATGTGCTCAAAATATAACAATATTGTTTTTTTCATTAGTCTTTACTTAACAAATTTTCAAATGCAAATTAAAACAAGGTAGATATATTTCTAACCGTTTTGTGTTGATGATGAGTCTTTTTAATATGAGTAAGTCGATAGCTCACTGCCTCATATGATTATTATGGTAAATTACTCTTTTGATGTTGAACCTATTGCCGATCACCATTATTTCGTTTATGATTCAATGTCCAATTCAGGCATCCACACCTTGAGTTCTTGATAAGGATCTTGTCCTGTTGTACATACTTTGGACTATTGGATTGAAGAAAGTTCATTATCGATGCTATTGGGGACGTTATAAGTCATAAAGGTCAAAAAATTGGTCATTCCGATTATGAAAATCTTGAAGGGTCCTTATGTTCCATGTTCCAAGTTCCAAATTGTAACCGATTAAATTTAAGTTTGTTTGCACTCATACCCATTGCCCATTCTTAATGTTTGCCAATGGCGATAAACCCCATCACCATCAACCTGTTTTGTATAATGGGATTTGATCACCCATACACATTTCTACGAGCTTCTAATAAATTTATGTACAAAATGTTAAAATGAAGCATGAAATTTAGTACTTGGGATTTTGTCACCCATTGGTAGGCCATTGCTTCTTTGGAAAGGGACTTTTCCTGACATTATCTTGAGTCAACATTCGTTTATGTTGTAGACCAAAAACGCCAAATGGTTTCAAACAATCCCATTTACCACAAAAGAGTTAATTTAGTTACATGATGTGACACTTTGTGTTGTCTATTTTCTTGTCTTGAACACATGTACATGTTTCAAGGACATGTCTTTTTCTTTCGATGAACTTCAAATTCCCTTTCACCAAACCTAAAAGGATCAATGATAACGTCAATCGGAAATTGACTATAAAGTTATCAGTTTATTTACAATTGGTATAAGATGTAAAAAGTTTGGGTCTGTTGTAAAAAAAATGCATTATTTTCATTACAGTTTAAAATACAATTTTGAGAAATGCCAAAATGCTATGTCAAAATATTTTGTTGTAAGATAAATAAATGGCGATAATTTATCATTTTTTTAATGCACAATTCTAGTACAAACTTTTTTCATTTATTATTTTAGAAAGCAATTTAATGCTTTCAAATGTTATCAATTATTGTTATAAATCATTCTTATTTTTAATAATTAGGTGTGAACCCCATGTATTACATGAGTATATTTAAAACAATTAAATGTGTATAAACATTTGAGAAATTTGAATTTATAAGAAAAATAAGAAAAATATTGAATTACTAAAATTAAAGTGTTTTTTTTTTCTCTTTTAAATTTAAACAAATCATTTAGATAAAATAATCAAAGCAAATCAATGAGATTTTATTTTAAAATTTTGAAGTTATAAGGAAAGTCCATTAATAAAATTAATATGCATTTATTATTAAATTTAAACATCATATGGAATTTAATAAAATAGGAAAACCACAAAATTACATAGGAAATAAAAAATTAATTTAAAATAACCACAAAATGACATGTGACAAAATGAATGAGAATGTAACAAGTGGCAACAAAAACTTTCATTTATTAAAGAAGATGTAGAGTATAGGTGGCAAAAGAAGCAAATCTGACGAGTCACATAAGCATTATGCAATACTTAATATACTTTGCTTAATCTAGAAATAATTAGTTAATTTTACTATAATTGTTGAAACAAAATTGCTCACTTAATAGTTAATGCTATTATCTCTTATAAATATCACAATAAAAAATAAATAAATATTGTTATCAATTATTGTTATAAAACATGCTTTTTCTAATAATGTAGAGTATACGTGGCAAAATAAACAAATTAACGAGTCATACAATACTTAAAATATTTTGCTTAATCTAGAAATAATTAGTTAATTTTACTATAATTGTTGAAACAAAATTGGTCACTTAATAGTTTATACTATTATCTCTTATAAATATAACAATTAAAAATAAATAAATATTTGAATGAATGTAGATTTTTATTAATATGCTATTAAATATAGGAGAAATATTATATTATATTATATTATATTATATTATATTATATATACTATATATATACGATGATTACAGGAATATAGAAAAATACAGATCCCTATATATCAGCTTTCTCTCTCCTCCGCGTGTTATCAGATCGTCTGTCTCGCCACTCTCGTCTTCAATCTCATCACGTTCATTGTCACAACGTCACCAACTCTCTCTCTCTTCTAACCATTTACACACACACTCATAGTACACATAAAGAGGCATCGCAGAGAAAGGGGCGGAGGGCAGAAGGTTGACGGAAGGTGGTGGAGCAATGGCGGGAAACGATTGGATAAACAGTTACTTGGAGGCGATTCTGGATGTCGGACCTGGACTTGACGATGCTAAATCCTCGCTGCTCCTCCGTGAGAGAGGCCGTTTTAGTCCGACTCGCTATTTCGTCGATAACGTTATCGGCTTTGATGAAACCGATCTCCATCGCTCTTGGGTTAAGGCAAGTTTTTTCTTTTTCCTTTTTCAGTTGATCGATCCATACACGCTACTTGTTTTTGTATCTGCATACGTTGATGCAAAAAATCAATCAAATCACGGGGTGTGCGTTTTTGCACTGTGTCTGTATCTTGCTCTGTTTTTCTTCTTAATTTGAAACTGGAAATGATTCTGTGTATATAGGCACAAGCGACGAGGAGTCCTCAAGAGAGGAACACTAGGCTTGAGAATATGTGTTGGAGGATCTGGAATTTGGCTCGACAGAAAAAACAGGTTTTTATTCCTTCAATTCGAATGTTTTCTCTGCTAATTTCTTCTCAATTTCCCGAATCTATACCAAAAAAAGGAGAAGAATGCTTAATCCAACCGACAAATCGATTCAATTTTTATGTTCTCATTCTTGTTTGTTAGCTTGAGAGCGAGGTAGCCCAAAGAATGACCAAACGTCGCCTTGAGCGTGAACGTGGTCGCAAAGAAGCTGTGGCTGATATGTCAGAAGACTTATCCGAAGGGGAGAAAGGAGACACCATCACTGATGCTTCTGCTCATGGTGATAACAGCAACAGAGGCCGTTTACCTAGAATCAGCTCTACAGATGCTATGGAGGCATGGGCTAATCAACAAAAGGGGAAAAAACTTTACCTTGTACTCATAAGGTAAGCTATCCCTACTTCCCTAATTCCCTATCCACAATCCATTCATTTGGCTTTTAAGCGTTAACAATCTTTACAAAAGCTTTTGAAAACCAAATTTCTTGCAGTCTTCATGGTCTTATACGCGGTGAAAACATGGAGCTAGGGCGTGATTCTGATACAGGTGGTCAAGTAAAGTATGTGGTTGAACTCGCAAGGGCTTTAGCTTCAATGCCAGGTGTCTATCGAGTGGATTTGCTGACTAGGCAAGTAGCATCATCTGAAGTGGACTGGAGTTATGGTGAACCAACAGAAATGCTATCACCACACAATTCAAACAACTTAACAGATGAAATAGGCGAAAGTAGTGGCGCGTATATAATCCGTATCCCCTTCGGTCCAAAAGACAAATATATCCCTAAAGAATCCCTATGGCCTCACATACCCGAATTTGTTGATGGAGCACTCAGTCACATCATCCAAATGTCAAAAGTTTTGGGGGAGCAAGTAGGTGGGGGCCACCCTGTGTGGCCTGTAGCAATCCATGGTCATTATGCAGATGCAGGTGATTCAGCTGCTCTTTTGTCTGGTGCCCTAAATGTGCCTATGCTTTTTACTGGTCATTCTTTAGGGAGAGATAAGTTGGAGCAACTTTTGAGACAAGGGAGATTGTCTAAAGATGAAATAAATGATACGTATAAGATAATGAGGAGGATTGAGGCTGAAGAGTTGACTGTTGATGCTTCTGAGGTTGTTATAACTAGTACAAGACAGGAGATTGAAGAACAATGGAGATTGTATAATGGGTTTGACCCTGTTCTTGAAAGGAAGCTTAGGGCTAGGATTAGAAGGAATGTGAGCTGTTATGGAAGATTCATGCCTCGTATGATTGTAAGTGACAAATCTTTCTTTTATTCTATTTATGTAGATATTAAGTGGCTCTATCTTATAATTCAACCATTTTGAGTTTTGACCTCGTATTTGTGTGTGTGTATATATATATATATATATATATATATATATATATATATATATATATATATATATATATTAACAATCATATTATCCCTTGTAGGTGATTCCACCTGGAATGGAATTCAATCATATTATCCCACATGATGGTGACATGGATGCTGACATGGAAACAACAGAAGATCGCCAAGCTTCTCCGGACCCGCCTATCTGGACAGAGGTCCACTTCATTTCTGATTAATAATTTTTATTTATAATTTTAAAAAATCATCTCTCCTCAATATCAAAACAAATGCAGATAATGAGATTCTTTACAAACCCACGAAAGCCTATGATCCTTGCACTTGCTAGGCCAGACCCAAAAAAGAACCTTATAACTTTGGTCAAAGCATTTGGGGAATGTCGCCCGTTACGCGAGCTTGCAAATCTTGTAAGTGTAAAGTTTACCCTAACAAGGGTATTTTGGTAATTTTTGTTATTTTGGATATAATTTTTTTGGTTTGGTTTTACAGACGTTAATAATGGGTAACCGAGATAACATTGATGAGATGTCAAACACTAGTGCTTCCATGCTTCTTTCCATTATTAAAATGATTGATAAATATGATCTTTATGGTCAAGTGGCATACCCTAAACATCATAAGCAAAGTGAGGTCCCTGATATCTATCGTTTAGCAGCAAAAACAAAGGTAAAAATTTATGAAGAGTTAAATATTTATGTTTCAGAAATAAATATTAAATCTTGTATTGCTTTTGTTGGCAGGGTGTTTTTATTAATCCGGCTTTTATAGAGCCATTTGGACTCACATTAATTGAGGTTAGTCGGTTACCTTACCTTCTGAGTTATGATATATTTAGCTATTAAGGTATCAAGTTTTTATAATATTTTGTATAATTTATTAAGTTTCTTTAAACAGGCTGCAGCTCATGGGCTACCAATGGTTGCCACAAAAAATGGAGGCCCTGTTGATATACACCGTGTAAGTTGTATTTCTTTCATAAAGCATAACAGGTTGTAAAAGACGGAAATACCCTTTTCATCCTTGTTACTGGAAATAGCCTTAAAAAGCTTGTCCAATCAAGTACAATATGACAAGACAAGACAGCTTGTAATGAACTCCCCTTTTAGATCTCTCATTTGTGCAAAAGACGTAAATGCCCTTTTTAATTTGTTGTAGGTACTTGACAACGGTTTACTTGTCGATCCCCATGATGAAAAATCCGTTGCTGATGCGTTACTAAAACTTGTAGCAGACAAACAGCTTTGGTCAAAGTGCAGGTCAAACGGGTTAAGAAACATCCATTTATTTTCATGGACTGAACACTGCAAAACTTATCTTTCAAGAATTGCAAGTTGCAAACCAAGGCAACCCGGGTGGCTAAAAAATGGCAATGATAATGATGATGATGATGATGATGAGAATTCAGAAGCCGAATCACCAAGTGATTCTTTAAGAGACATGCAAGACATTTCTCTAAATCTAAAGTTTTCAATGGATAACTATGAAGATCAAAAAGGTAAAATAGAGAATGCAGTCATGTCGTATTCAAAGGGTGTCATGAAAGGAGAAAAAACCGACCAAGGGAAGTTCCCGGCGTTACGAAGGCGTAAGGGTATTTTCGTAATTGCGGTCGATGGCGATGACATTGGTGTTATTTTTGAAAATGTTAAGAAGGTTTTTGAGGCGGTGGAGAAGGAGAGGACGGAAGGTTCTATTGGGTTTATATTGGCTACATCGTTACAGATGGCGGAAGTTCATTCGTTTATGGTTTTGAAACGGTTAAATTCGTCCGATTTTGATGCGTTTATTTGTAATAGTGGGGCCGATCTTTATTACACATCTTCTCATAGTGAAGATAATCCGTTTGTGTTTGATTTGTATTATCATTCGCATATTGAGTATAGGTGGGGTGGTGAAGGGCTTAGGAAGACTTTGCTTAGATGGGCGTCTTCTTTTGTTGACAAGAATAAAAATGGTGAACATGTTGTTACGGAAGATGAAGCGGTTTCAACCGATTATTGTTACGCTTTCAATGTTCACAATCCCACACTCGTAAGTTCATCCATCACTTCAGCAGAACAGGACAAAACAAAACAAAACAAAACAGGACAAGACATGACATGACATGACTGAACACTTGACTGATATGAACGAGACAAAAAGACAAAATTGCATATTTTTTGTACCACCCGAAAAGTGGGATAGGGACTAACATCTTTTTCACACCTTTTGGGTGGGGCCCATCAGTACAATTTGTTCTGTCTTGTCTCAGAGTGAATGAGGTCATTATTGACTCGTATTTTATTGTTGTAGGTTCCTCCGGCTAAGGAACTTCGGAAGATGATGAGGATTCAAGCTCTTCGTTGTCATGTTATTTATTGCCAAAACGGGAAGAAGATAAACGTTATCCCGGTATTGGCGTCTCGTTCACAAGCCCTCAGGTAAAGTGTTGTCTGGATAAATGATGTTTAAAACATATCGACACTTAAAATGGAAAGAAAAAACTTATTTCCTTGTATTAATTAAAAATACTATATTTAATTTTTAGGTATTTGTATCTCCGATGGGGAATGGAGTTATCGAAGGTCGTGGTTTTTATTGGAGAAAGTGGCGACACCGATTACGAAGGGTTTCTTGGTGGTGTTCATAAGTCGGTTGTATTAAAGGGAGTTAGTAACAATAGCAACCTACTTCATGCCAACAGAATCTACCCTCTTTCTGACGTCATCCCCAAAGACAGCCCTAACGTTATTCAGACACCCCAAGATTTTACCAGTGCCGACATCCGCACAATGTTGGGAAACCTAGGAGTTCTCAAAGGATAAGACTTTGTTTTTGTTTTTGTTTTTTTTTTGGAAAGTTGGTGAACTTGTATGTACAGTTCGGGAGCTGGAATGGCCGGACCTTGAGAAATAAAGCTATGGTAAAAGTTGTACCTTATGCATTGAAACTTATACCTTCTTTTTGAATTGGAATTTTAATTTTGGAGTTAAAAAATATTTGTTTGACCTTGAAATGGGAATATCATTGATATTGAAAGGCGTGTATCTTGCAAGCTAAGTTTGAGTTGGCTTGAGGGAAACCATGTAGTTGTAGAGATTAATAGTTTATGGCCAAATGGTGCAAAGATAAAGCTAGCCAGATAGGTCATCTATTTTCCACCTACAAATTGGGTGTCTTTCTGATGCATGTAATAAAGACTGACTGTTGACAAAATACATGGAACTAATGTCAGTTTCGTAATAATAAAATCATTATGCTACGTTGTTTAAGAAAACATTTTTTTTATTACTTGCTTTTGATATCAAGGTAAGATTTTTGTTTGAACACCTAATTTATAAACTAGCAAGAAACTGACAAAAATAAACCAATTACATAATTTCTTTCTTATCAATTTAGTCACTGAATTATTGGAGTATCTTTTTTTTTGCTTTTAAAAATTTAGCAGATTCTATTATTATAAATACTTCAATTGTTAAATTAATAAAACAGAGAAGTTCATTTTGTTTTGTTTTGTTCTTTTGCTTTTTTCTTAGAAACAATGTAACTCGAACACAAGTTTTTTATTTTTTAAATAAAAAAATATAATAGTCTAATCACTACAAAAATACATAATAGCTACATCAATAAAAATACTAAAATATAACAACTTTCGTATGTTGCCCTTTTATCATATATATGTTTAAAAAATTATGTACCATTGAATATCACTATTGATTCACAATCATCTGTTATGTCGACTCTTCAAATGGTGTAGTTTGTCATTTAAAATAAATCATATATTATTTACACTTGCTTTGATTTTTTTTTTTAAACGAAAAATAATTTATTCATAATCTATTCATAAACACCATTTATGTATTCTAATGAGATTTGAACCCATAACCTCTCGTTTGAGAAAACACTCTTTATCGTTAGGCCAAAAACATTTTGGTTTTTATGCTTGCTTTGATAAGTTTGGCTCATGATAGAGAAATTTAATTAGCGACAACTTGTGTTCTTTTATTTATTGCTATATCTTTGTTATAATTAATTGGTCGCCCACATTTCAAACCTAAAATTTTCAAATAATTTTGAATGAATTCTAGTGAGACGAGCAAGTCCAACGGAGTGGCAATAAAGTTAGGTCAACTTCTAAACCCAAACTTCTTTAACAGGCCATCAATTCATGGTCAACCATTTATGCCCACAAGTAACCATCAAACATTCAAAACTTGATATATATATATATATATATATATATATATTATATATATATATATATATATATATATATATATATATATATTATATATTATATATATATAATATATATTATATATATATAGGAGGGTTCAATTGAGAAAAAAAAAAGATTGAGAATGAGAAAATCATTCTAAGTCATTCATTTATTTTTGTCACAAAAATCTTCGTCGTATCAGCGGAATTGGGAAATGAATAGACATATGTTTTCCAACAAAACATATTTCCTTAAACTATGCTAATTATTACTTTAATACATACAAAAACATAATTTTTTTTGTTTTTTTTTATTTTATTTTTAAGAAGCTATTTTTATCGAAAAATGATTTTAAATATATCAAAATTCATGATTTTTTATTCTCTATAAATAGACATCCATATTGATATAGTTTTAAGATTATATATATATATATATATATATATATATATATATATATATATATTATATTTTCAGCTATCGTTATTCATAAATGAATAAAAATGCATCAGGTTTTATTAAAGTACATTTGTTATTCACTTATGAATAAAAAGTATGATTTTTTTAAAAATTTAAATATCATTCATATATGAATATAACATATAATAAACATAATATATTCATATTTAAATATTGAACGATGCATTCACTTGTGAATATTAACATAGTATATTCACTTGTGAATATTAGATGATATATTCACTTAGGAATATTAAATGATATTTTCATATGTGAATATTACATAGTATTACATGGTATATCACATGTGAATATTACATAGTATATTCACTTGTGAATATTAGATAATATATTAACTTATGAATATTACACAGTATATTCGCATATGAATATTACAAGGTATATTCACTTGTGAATATATTCACTTATGAATATTAGAAGTTATTTTCACAAATATATATAATTTTTATATGTTATTCACATATGAATAACATACAGACTTGCATATTTGTTTTGTGTTTTTAATAATCATATACTGATTCAGGTGAGAAAACATATTCATATGTGAATATAATGTGGTAATTTAGTTTATGCATTTCATCAAACAGTTGGAGTGCATACAAGTTAACTATTTTAAAAATGTTAAAAACATCAAGTTATCAATTCCAAATCATTATATACTTTCGATTTCGACTTCAGATGAGACATCCTATGTCTGATCGATTTCTCATTTTGATTTTGATTTCCGAAAATCCGATTAGGAACCTGTGAGTTCCGATTTTGAGTCCTTCAATGTCGAATGTGACTGCGAGTCCAGAACTCTGATTCCAATTTCATGAACAACGAAAAAATTCTGATTCCAACTGATTTCGTTTGCGAATCTGGGAAATTCCAGTTCCAAATCTGTTATGAACTTCAACAAATCGATGAAATTGATGAATTTGGGTTGCGAATTTGTCTTGAACGGCTAACCTCCTAGCCACGAATATCAATGATTGATTAACACTGTATGACATTGATGATGGTTTAGTTGAAGAAATCTGGATAATTGTTGAAACTTGGAGGAAAATTTTTGATGATGAACGAACTG